AACATATTTTTGGGGTTTATCCATGCCACAGCAGTTTGTTCCTTCTTATTGATTAATCCGTCCATTGTGTGAATATATACCACATCTTTATTCCTTTTTTTCTTTATTTTTTATTTTTTATTTTTTGAGATGGAGTTTTGCTCTTGTTGCCCAGGCTGGAGTGCAGTGGCACGATCTTGGCTCACTGCAACCTCCACCCCCCGGGTTCAAGCGATTCTCCTACCTCAGCCTCCTGAGTGGCTGGGATTACAGACACCTGCCACCACACCCAGCTAATTTTTTGTATTTTTAGTAGAGATGGGGGTTTCATCATGTTGGCCAGGCTGGTTTCGAACTCCTGACCTCAGGTGATCCACCCGCCTTGGCCTCCCAAAGTGCAGGGATTACAGGCATGAGCCCCCGCCCCTGGCCTCCTTTTTTTTTTTTTTTTTTTTTGACGTATCCCCATTGTTAAGCATACAAATTTCCGTGTATTCATTTACCAATTGATGAACATTTAGGTGAAGTTTTTGGCAATTATCAGTAATGCTGCTGTGAACATTTGCATGCAAGTTTTGTGTGGACATGTTTTCATTTTTCTTAGGTAGCTACCAAGAAGTGAAAATTTGATTCCTACAGTAATTTTTTGTTTAACTTTTTGAGAAACTGCCAAATGTTTCCCAAATAAGCTGCATCATTTTACATTCCTACTGGCAATGTAACAGGGTTCCTGTTCCACCACATCCTTGCTGACATCTGTTATTCTATTAGTCAGACAGGCCTGCCATAACAAATTACCACAGACTGGGTGGCCTCAGCATCATACATTTTCTTCACAGCTCTGGAGGCTACGATTCTATGATCAAGGTGCTGGCAAATTTGATTTCTGGTGAGTACCGTCTCCCTAGCTTATAGATGGCTGCCATCTTGCTGTGTCCTCACATGGCCTTGTCTCCGTGCTTCCATGAAGAGAGAGGGATAGAGATAGAGAGAGATCTCATGTCTCTTTCTCTTCTTATAAGGACACAAATCCTATCAGATTAGAGCTCCTCTTTACCTCATTTACAGCTCCTCTTTACCTCATTTACGTTAATTATCTCCCTACATACTCTGTCTCCACATACAGGGGATTAGGGCTTCAACATAGGTTTTGTGAGGAGGACACAATTCACTCCCTAACATTCCTCCCTCTGTCCCCCCACAAATTCATGTTCTTCTCACATGCAACACATTCGCCCCATCCTAACAGCCCCCAGAGTCTTATACCATTTCAGTATCAATTGCAAGTCTAAGGTCTCATCTAAATAGGCCCTCCCTATCCACGGGTTCTGCATCCATGGATTAAACCAACCATAGATCAAAAATATTTGGAAAAAACAAAAAGGATGGTTGCATCAGTACTGAACAGGTGCAGACTTTTTTCTTGTAATTATTCCCTAAACAATACAGTGTAACAACTATTTATATAGCATTTACACTGTATTTGGTATTATAATTCATCTAGAGATGATTTAAAGTATACAGGAAAATGTGCATAGGTTATATGCAAATATAAAATATACCATTTTATATAAGAGACTTGAGTATCTGTGAATTTTGGTATCCATGGAGGGAGGTCCTAAAAACCAATACTCCACAGATACTGAAGGACAAATTCCATTAAATTTTATGGCTCCAGTCAGGGGTGTTGACTCACACCCATAAGCCACCGAATTCAAGACCAGCCTGGGCAAGATGGCGAAACCCTGTCTCTACTAAAGGGCTTATTAGTTCCAACAAGAGCTGGTTGTTAAAAAGAACCTGGCGCCTCCCTCCCCTCTCTTTCTTGCTTCCTCTCTCTCCATGTGATCTCTGCACAGGCTGGGTCTCTTTGCCTTCCGCCATGAGTGGAAGCACCCCAAAGTCCTCACCAGATGTCCAGTCTTGAACTTTCCAGCCAGCATAACCATGAGCTCAATAAACCTCTTTTCTTTAAAAATTACCCAGCCTCTGTAATCCCAGCACTTTGGGAGGCCGAGACGGGCGGATCACGAGGTCAGGAGATCGAGACCATCCTGGCTAACACAGTGAAACCCCGTCTCT